GAAATCATAAAACGTGTAAAAACAGTATACTAATGATTGCGATATTGCCTATAAGCAGTACACGCAGCAGTGTGAACATTTTTGAAGTAGCATTATTTAATAGAAGAAAGACTACTACCTCAGCATACATAGTGAATGAATTTTCATCAACCATCATTAAGTTACATAAAATATACTGATGAGGAGCGAAAGCCCGACACACGTGTCTGCGGTTCACTCTCAATAAGGACTATCTCCAAGATTTTCTTCCTATACACGTAAATATACATATATAAAGGTATACCAAGGAAGTGACCCATTTGATCCCGTAGGTAGATCTCATTCACCTACACAGAATCTAGTTACGAAAATTAGGTCACAGTCCTCTTTAGACTTATAGCAACAAAAACTTAGAAATGGTTCCCTCCACTGCAAATTTTCATAGTTTCCTTGAGCTACTGGAATATACAACTACTGTGAAAGTTAGCTTCGATTTGTTATTTTTCACAATTCTACTTCATGATTCTTAATCAGGAAATGTTCCTACGAGCTTACCTACCCTTTTTTGGAAATACCTTTTTGAAAATAAATAATGTGGCACTCAAAGGATGGAAATACCGAGAGAACAATATACCTACCCATGGCTATATTGGGTGCTCTTTCACTATTCTTGAATATTCTGTTTCTTCCATCACAAAGTATTATTCAGTTCATAATAGGGAACTTCGCTACAAGTTGTCAACCTAAAAACCTCTACCAAAATTATGGAAGTTTTATTGCTCACATGGCTTCATAAAGATGAAATCTGAGAGTAGGAATATACTCAGCTCACTAATAGAAGCTATTCAGAAAACAAAAATGTCTTAGTTCTGATTAGTTGAAAATTATGTTGATGCACCTGCTTCCATTCTCAACTATATTATATCGTCGTCAATTTTATAACCTACTCGTCACATTTTTGTTACATATTCAAGATTATTTCATTCATGAACAACAGTATTATTCATTATTCTTTGGTGAAGAAGTTTGTTCGTTGCAGTCGGAAGAATAAATATATTTCATTCAAGTGCTGAAAATAGATCCAGACATGTCTCCGACAGAATGAAATAATGAAGTTTCGACCTTATCCTGAAATGGAAAATAACCATGACTGTGTAGAAACTAAGAGATCACAGTCGATATCATAAATAAAAACAGTAACATACCTATTTAATAATAAGTATGTTCCTAGTGTAGAAAAAAATAGGGAAACAAATCATTCGATCAATGAATTCTCTCAAAGCTTAGATACATGGCTCACCTTGAATGAAGACTGGTCAGAGTCTTCAATAAAAGATACCTATACATATCACAAATGTCGGAAGACAACATAATCAAAATAACATACCTTTATTTGGATAATTAGACACAGATAGTTCGATGGTAGCTGAAATCACAAAACTATTCGAACATCACGATATTTATATGAGCATGAGATATTATGGGTAGAGGGAATTCGAATAAACAACAATTAGTACATAAATATATACAGGGTGATTCAAAAGTAAGCGGCATCCTTTCAGAGGCGTATTCCTTGCTTGAAAATAAGGCAAAAAGTTCCTATTGATGAGGATCCGAAAATGCTTCCTAAGGGAGCTACGGCCCTTTGAATAGGACACCTCAAAGACGGTTTTTTCTCTATAACTTTAAAATCCTTCACAACAAATTTTTAAAAATTGGTGTACGGCATAAACATTCGATGGTAAATAGGACTCCGTATTCGAAATTTCAGAATTTCATTCAGGGGCGTCACATGCGGGAGAGGGTAAGTGTAAAAATATCCCTTCTTCTCCGGATATTCAGGTTACTGTGATTTCGTTTGGAAATTATTTCGAATACGGAGTCCTATTTACCATCGAATGTTTATGCCGTACACCAATTTTTAAAAATTTGTTGTGAAGGATTTTAAAGTTATAGAGAAAAAACCGTCTTTGAGGTGTCCTATTCAAAGGGCCGTAGCTCCCTTAGGAAGCATTTTCGGATCCTTATCAATAGGAACTTTTTGCCTTATTTTCATGCAAGGAATACGCCTCTGAAAGGATGCCGCTTACTTTTGAATCACCCTGTATATAATATCAATGGTAAGTATGTTGATTACCATTACGACGAGTCGCGATAAGCCCCAGACCAAGCCCCAGACCAGATAACCCTCATATCCATTTTGTTATAGGTTTGCAGGTTTCCCATGAATGTTTCCTGATGATTATTCGAAGTTCGAACGTGATTCGAAATAACTGATTCTGTGATTCATTAGGTCTGTTCGTTTGTGTTGCTGAACTTACTGAAGTCGGATTTTTTTTCCATAGTTGTCTCTGTTCACAGGCATAATGTAAACAGAAAAAGTCATGAAAAAAAATCTTGCTCAGCAGGTAGAGCAAACATTAACGAACAGTCATGCAGATATACCATTTATCACTCGTGACACTACTGACACTATTGAAAGTATTGACATCATTGACAATTCAGTATTGACGTACCGCAAATGCACCAACATACGTTTCAACACTGGTTTCAACTAGGTTTCAACCAGTCAGATGTGAAGTTCTCAAAAACTAATTCTTCTTCTGAATAACTTTCATCAGGAAGATGAGTGGACTCCTACAATCAGATTTCACCAAAATGAAGTTATCTGATCAATCAAACTTCCATAATATTGCTTCTACAGTGGTAGAGGATTTCAGGTTGATAACTTGGAGCGAATTTCCCCATTGTGTATCAATGGAATCAGGATTTTGATAACTGGGCATAGACTTCGAAGAAAATATTCGCGGGATGCTTAGATTCGGTTTCATTTATATTCATCCGTGAATGAAATCAATCACCAGTGAGCATTGAATTTTCGAAACGTACATCACAAAAATATTAATTTCTTCAGATAAAATAACTCGAAAACTCCAACTAGATGTTGACTTCATTGAATCAGGAGACTCGATTTAGATTGGCTGTGTCTTCGAATGAAATCAGATTGTGATGAACATCATTTGAAAATCATTTGAATTTTGAATCTTTTCGAAAATAAAGGATCATGCCTGGTAGTTTCATAGAGAGCCCAAATATTGAAGTGTGTCCCGCATATTTCTTGAACAATTGTGAGTCGAAAGTTATGGATAGTTAAGGAGTTATGAGCAATTATATAATAACTTCGCTCACCGATGGATAGCAAGAGGCTGTACAGTTCTCTCGACACCAAGGTCACCTGGTGGGCCAAAAAATGTCTTGTGTATTCAAATCAATCACAAACCAGATGAGCTAATTCAAAATATCATGAATGCAGCTGCATCCGTATACGAGGCGATCTGAATAATTTTCAGAAAGCCAACGTCTTCGATAATTAGATGAGCAAGAATATGTTGGGAAGCAGTGGGGGGACAATTTGAACAAGAACTTCAAATGAATTTGTGTATGTAATAAAAAAATGTTTAATTGACGAAATATTACAGGACTTTTTTCAACATTCTCTTCACTTCACTCTATATTCTCTGTTGAATTCACTATTGCTCATTACTCCTCGACTCAAGAATTTTGGACAGGAGTGTATAAAGGTATTTTCGACTTGGAATTGTACAAGAAATATGCCCTCAAGCTATGGGCATCGAGTCACGAGACACCCTCAGCAATTGAATATTCCGAAATATCTGGGTACAACATAATCATTCAAAACTGAGAATTAGTATCATTATCAAAAATAAACCAGAGAATATACAGGGCATTCCAACAGGTTTGTACAAAATCTCAGCACCTAGTCCTGAGGTCAGAATGAACCTATCTGAAGGAATTCACCTCCGAAATCGCTCCGTTTATGAGATACAGGGTGGTTAATTTATGAAATGAAAGTCGACAAGTATACTCCAGGAAAGTATGTTGAAAAATACATCATTGAACTTTTTATTCACTGACAAAATAACATCCATGAAAATAACAGCAAACATGTCTTCGAGCATTTCTTACTCAATATGATTAAAATATTCTCGTGCGGCATCGAACACTAAAATCCGAAATACTCGAAAACGACTCACTTTGGCGAATTTTTACAGGTCTACCTTTTTTACTTGGAATTATTTATATAATCATTTCCCCAACCAAGAAAAAAATGTAAAACGTGCGCTGAGAAAAAAGGTATGACCATTTTAAACCATAAGAATTACATTGGTAAGCACCCTCTAATGGTCACAGTGGAAATGTATCTGTATTCGGGTTTCGCATTTCAAAGAACTCCTGGGTACTGATTTTCGCAGTGATACGTACAAAAAGTATCTCAGAAATGAAGCAATTTTGCACAGAGGTAGATTGCATCAAATCGGCTTATTTTGACCTCAGAAATATGTGCTGGGATTTTTTTCAGACATTCTAGGAACATTCTGGCTATATTCCGAATTCAACTGACAGTACTGAATCTGCTGAATACTCATTCCGAAATCAGAAAAAATGACTGAAAGTGACAGATACTCGTGGGCAGATATACAATTCATTCCAAATATTTCAACTCAACATTCTGCTGAAATTTCTGACTATCAAGAGGTAGTGTGGCTTCAGTGAACTGTCATTATTTTTTGAGGGGAAAGGAATCACACATTCATTTCCGTTGTTTTTCAAACATTAAGTCTCGGCTTATCAATAATACATTGATAATATCATTTTGATATCAGAAAATGCCTGTTATTTATTTAGCTCAAGCAGGAGCATCTGCCAGATCAATGACAACTGACAAATTTCACCAGCTGATCAACTGCTGCTGATTACTGATGAAAACGTGTTTCGAATTACAGCACTGTATTTTTGATTTTATATTCCGGAACACAGCTTTTCAGCAGAGTCAGTGGATCTACTGACAGTACTGACCAGTTGAATTCGGAATATAGCCTCTGTAATATCGATGATCAAGTCTGGCAAGGATCCGGACAACATTTCCCCCCCCCTCCCCCAAAAAAAAGGAACATTCACACTTTCCCTATAACCCATCCCTAATTCCTAACTTTTTCCAGTGGAACCACTAATGGAAACAAAATTCAACGTCCTTGAAACAAGAATAGGTGATAGAAAATCAGTATCTTCAGACTTGAATTTTGCAGATGGAGAAGATGATCCATTCATAAGTAGCTTATGGGGAATTCATAAAACTTTAGATGCTCTCCGTGGTAAGATATTCAGTATGAAATGAATGCATTGTTTGACCAAAGATCCGACTCGAATTCAAATGTCTTCTAGTGTGAATCAATATAATGATTCTTACAAAAATTAATTATAATCAATAAGCCACAAAGCATAAGGGAACATTTTGGGACCATTGAATTTTCATTGCTCATTAGCAATAATACCAATATTTAATTGAGAATTGACGAAATATTGGAAATCGTATATACTTGAAGTTTCCATCGTATTTCAACACATATCAACTGTGCTATGGTCTGCCCCTACCACAGACTTACGAAATCGGGGCTTTAGTTTTTACTGTCGGTAAATTTCTAGTCGTTTAAAATCGCCGTGGCATTATTGATGATTTGAGCACCTAAAAGTCGACCAAATAATCCTTCAAAAAAATAAAATTGAAAAGTATTGAAGTCATGATCTATATAAGAGATAATAGTTATTTGTTTAACTAGGCAGCAAAGTAGTAGATTGACAGTCAATCCACTTCGCTGCCGAGTTGAACAAATGATTTTTCTCCGAATGTTCATAATGATATAGGAGGATATCTTAATTGCAAATTATCACAATTCTCATAATCTCTTTATTTTACCTGTAGTGTTCAATTGAAATAAAATTTCATAGAAATCGCAATTGTTGGAATTGTTGGTTGCTATGGAAATGTTCATAATAATTATAGTTTGACAATTCATGAAATTTCCGACAGTTGTGCGAAAAAATATCGGTATGTTTAAATTATTATATAATGGACAGTGATAGCGACCTGGAAGTACTTACACCTTCAGAAATAAGGGAGGTGGCAAAAAATATAGAGTTGAATTTGTTGCCGGAGAAGTCTCCGATGAAAAATGAAGGAAATTATAAACGATTTACGGATTATTAATTTTTTTGATACATATCATTCAGCAAAGTACCCACTTTGCTGCCTAGGCAGGAAAAGTAATACTTTGCTGATTGATATGTGTCAGCAAAATTAATATTTGCTGCCAATCGGAGAAAAAAAAATTTTGTCCACTCGCCTATCCACAAACCATTCTGAGGTATGGTGCTGAAAGGATATAACGTGGTAAATTGATGGTAAATAGGTGAATATGAATTAAGGGATTGGCGCTTGGATTCTTGGTTCAACCTCTAGATGAGATCAATCAGTCTTTCCGGTTAGTACAGGGTGAGTCATAAGAAACTGTACTCACTCCCACCTGGTATAGGTAGAGGTATTTTATTGGGGAATTCAAAATTACTATATCAGAAATAGTTTTCTCCTTGTCTTTACTTTCAACAGCTCCAGTTCGATTTGTATCCCGACGAAACAGCATGTCACTCCTAGTCAATCAACTGACATACTGATACATATCCGATGTCGAATTTTCGATTCTATTGATACTTACCTACAATTTCTAGAAAAAATGAATTTTTGATACCTCACTTTCGCTGCCTAATTATGAACTTTGAACAGCAGATATGAAAAACTGCTGACATCATACAAGATATATTTTTTGATGAAGAAACCTTTTGCTAGCTAGTCCGGGAATCTCTGGATTCTGAAAATCTTTCACGCAAAAATCAAACCAATCGAATTGGTTGTTGTTGAGTTCTGAATAGAAGTTTTTGCCGAATCATTAGCTATGGTAGGTAACTCCCCTACCATCAGGCCACTTTCTCCCAAGAATGAACCAACTGCAATGTTGAAGAAATGGTTTTCATGAATCATCTTGGAGTGTGAGGCAGTAGCCATGAATCAGGAAATAGACATTTTCAAACAAGAATCAATGAATGAAGGATAATACCATATCGACATTAGTTAGAAAGCATGTGAACCTCATCGTCCATTCAACTGGGAATATACAGAGACATGATAACAGTGAAGAGATACAAGGCATTATTCATTATCATACCTGAAGCCGACCTCACATCAACTGGAGATATCACCTGACATCAACCTACGTCCAAATTTTCAGGATTGAAGTAGATGCAAAGGAATATATAACATTCTTTCTATGTCATGTCATGATAATCATTCAATTCAAATTCAGAGGATCATGCGATCAAATTTTTCACCAAACTGTTTCAGTTCATCAGATTATCACTAACATTAGGAGACAAATATAGAACTGTCATCATGGACGACCCTTCCTGAGGGTTAACATTCCTCATTGCTCACTAGATCGCGCAACTGAGGCTTGATGTATTGCAGGACAAATATTCCTTCTTTTGTTTCATTTGTCATTCATCAGTTCCTTCTCTAGGATTATAAAAAGTATGCCTGACATTCTACGTTGTCCAACCCCAACAAAACTTTTGTTTTGATATTTGTTTGCATAGGACACATCACTTTTTCTGCAAATTCTCGTATAACAAGAGACCGTAGACTCCACAAAGTCCTCAATGTACAGTAGCGCCGACTGATGAGACTGAAAATATTAACCCTCATTGCACATGTAATTTATGATTCGAATTGTTGAAATGATTTTTGCTAACAGGAAACATGCACAAACGGGTGTTTGATGCCGAAACCATTGGCGACGATGGGTCGGACATTGAAGACACACAGCTGCCACCCACTTACGTAGTAGTTCAACTGGATCCAAAGATCCCGAAAACAACTTTGGTCTGGTTGATTGACAAAATCAGCGGAAAGAAGAGGGATGGAGGAGGAGAATTGATCGTCATGAAGCAGCCTTTGAATCCCGATGATGTAGGTATATCGTGTCCTCATGAGGGTTTTCCGAGCAATTATCTCCAGCTCGGTGTTGGTATATACATAGCACATATTTGGTCTTAGAATATGGTTTCCACAGCACTCAAACCCAGTGAACACAGAATCTCCATATGATGTTTATGCTTGGCCCATATGGACTTGCTTTGTACGTCCCTTGTTCGAGTCGAAATATACCACGATATTAACCATTTGCCAATCGATTAATTTTCGACATTCGAATAGTGAGGAAGTCATATTTTCAATTTCATATGATATGAATGAAACAAAAGCGTATAACAAATTTGAACGCAGCTGAAGTTTTGGAGCAGTACCTATTTTATTGGCAGAGAAACTGCGGAATATGCCCTCTTGAATGAAATGTCTCTTCAGAGTAGTGAATACGGAGCAGCATTCATTGGTTTCATAAAAATCAATCAGTGTTTGAAATCATCATTATGAATATTACGAACATATAATGAACAGCCAGAAGCGGACGCGGCGTGTCGGTATGTCCGGCCGAGCCAAACGAGAAGGGGATTTCGGTTTTCCATTTCAATTTTCCTCCAACAACACGTGAAACTCACCACTGATAGCGACTGATCAGTTCCCCCACCCCCCAGGTACCCCCAGTGAGATTACCTATATAGAGGGCTCAGCCCTAGGAGATAGACCACTGTGACTAACACCTCACATATACACTCACATTCCTGAACCAACACTAGCCACCTCTGCACCATGCGGAGGACCCTCTGACATACAGAGCAGATCTAAATACATAGACTCCTTTATATAAAAAATCTGTTTGTAACTATGTGCTGCCATGAAATATTGAGATGGAATGAACAACTTCAACACTACTGCTTCATAAGCCAAAGATCGTGGGTTCGAATGTCGTTCTCCACCACATTTTCACCTGGATATAAATGGACATCAATTGGGTGTCCCTCTGGACATAATCGGACATCCAATGAATATTCGTATTATCCATTGCAGACATCCTTCGAACATTCATTTTATGTACGTGTATTATCTGGTTATATATACTGATACTCGTAGTATTCAGAGACGATCTATTTGCTGGTTGATAATGCCGCACCAACTTATTCCTCAACACACTCTTGCTTAGATATTTTCACAGAGAATATCATTCAGGAATTGCGAATATCATGCTATTACTAGCAGCAATACGAGTCAGACGAACTCGACAAGCTCGGTCAGTACATCCTCCTGTCGTCTACTTCAGGATGCACCGAATAACTTTTTACCGCTAACCGCCGCCCACTGCACCGATAGCGCCTTCGTCCCCTTCCTCTTCGTCCACACAGGCTCCTCCCTCTGGGGGCGGGGCGGTCTAGTAGTGGGGGTAAGATATAACCATCAGCACCAGCGGTACAGCGGCACAACGATCGATCACGACGTAGCGTTACTAGAGCTCGAAGAGGCTATCACGAGCGAATACGTGGAAATAGTGCCTTCACCGAAAGCAGGTAGTAAACTGCGCGAAGGACAGATGGCTACAGTGACCAGTCGGGTGACAGAGACAGAAGACGGACGCATGTCAAGAGTGCTAAAGATCGTGAAGGTTCCGATAGTGAGCAATGAAATTACACCTGCGTTACATCTTTTTTCATGCATATTTATAATTCCTTCGAAGTTATCAAATATCTGTCAGTCTAATTCTAAAATTTGAATTGCAAAAATGCGAACTGTGGTTATTTAGTAATCTACGTAACCGCGTAGTGGAATGGAAGATAAAAGGAATAGCAGTTCTTTCTCGGAGACGGTGTTATTGACTCATTTTTCGGAACTTGCACATCGGAAGCCATCAAAAATGTATATTCATTATATATACGGGAAAAATTAAATAACTTTTTCCCCGTGGAAAAAAAGTCATTCATGCATGGTAAGTGACAATTTAAATCTGTAAACAGAGATGAAATGCCAATTATTTTGCCGTCACAGGAAAATACCTATTTACGAGCCTATTTATGACTCACTCCTATTCATCATGAGTAGATATTAGGATACACGCGGTATACGACTTTCCCACTTGCTGACTGCGGTACTAGTCGTTTTTCTTCAGTATCTGGCAACCTCTTGGTATCCAGAATTTCTAATTGTTTTCCATACCCTCTCATTGTTTCTAGAACACCTCCTCCACTGACTTGCATCGAATAATCGAGAATCTTCAACTACAGCATTTCATTAGGTGTTCTTCAGATGAATTTCAGAATGATAGTGATGTCCGTGAACAATCTGGAATGCACTGCTAAGTGCTCAGCTTTGACTGCTTGATGATATTTTAACCAATTATTCATGGGTCGTCATCTGAAAGTCATAAGAATGAGACAATTTGACTGTCAGAAATTTGAGGAGTGAAATTTGGATCGAAACAACAAAACTGAGTGTTAGTGAGTATTTGATTATAGCTGTCTCGATTCTACAGGGCTCAATTCTCCATCTGTCAGCTACCAAAATGAAATTCCTAGAAGCTGCTGAGGAAATGGAACTCATGAAGGAAGACCGCATCGGTGTGATGCGGGAATTCACAGTGGCATCTCTAGAGGATTTCGTTCCCGAAGATATGCACCTGGACGATTTCTTGACACCATCTGAGAGACAGACCATAGTAAAACACGAGCTAGATAACATAAGGTGAATGTCCTATTGACTATTACACTATATACAAGTTTTCCCAGAACAAAGTGCCATAATTGAAAAGGGATTTTCTCAGATGAATTATTATGAACATAATATAAATGAGGAAATGGATATATTGAGAATTCGCATTCTCTATGTGATAAAAATATCAATTCTTTTTCAAATTCTTATCGTGTGTGTTCAATAGATATAATTGAATGTTCGTCGTGGCATATAGCCAGGAAAGTAGTTGTTTTCTGTTGAATAAACCAAGGAAGAAGTGATATTTTGATCACATAGAGGATGCGAATTCCCAATGTATTTATTTATATATATCCATTTTTTCATTTTTTTTATGTTCATAATTTATCTGAGAATATTCCTTTTCAATGCTTCCACCCAATCAAGGGGTTCAACTTGAACGATAGAGACTTGTTATTTTTATAGACCTTCAATCGCAGAATCGTGATCAGGTTTTCTCAATCAGAATTTCTTTCCACGTCTTGTATGATGAATATCAATGTGTCATACATAAAAAAAGGGTTATGGATGACGATTTCATATCCAGATTTTCTTTTTTTCAATATTATCCTTGGAAGGTACTCCTCTGAAATTTGTAAGACAATTTACTCTGATCAATTTGCATGGAAAACATGTCGTACCGTTTCAATCAATATATACAGAGAGGTAGGTATTTGGCATTCTCTTGGATGAAAAAAAAAATCACTTCTTCAGAGGCACGAGTTCTATTCAGAATGAGAAGAATCAAATATGGCGCCAATTGAAGAAATAAAAGTTGATGATGATGATCGAGAGACGAAACGTCAGTTAGCAAATCTGAAAGATCCATCATATAGAAGATAAAAAATAACAATGTGAAGAAGCAAAATTTCGGTTTCTCTTCATAAACTCTCTGAACAAGATATTGTTAGTTAAGTGAATGAGCAGTTTTGCTTCGATTCAACCATCTTTGTATCTCTTATAGTTTTATCGATATCAATGGTGAGGATGGAATTTGAAACACCCTTGCTTGCTGTTGCTATAGTTGCTCAAAGCAATACTTCTATATTTTCTCCATGCCCATCTCGAATGAACATTACATGAGACATTTGATTCCATCAGGGCACTCGCTGAAGATGATCATATTCCTGGATTTCCCACCTACTCGCTGTACGAAGGCCAGTCTATATTCCATGTATGCCAGAAATGGGGGATCGTTACTAAGGTGTATCCGTTGCACGATGATGAGGCGATAAAGAGGCTGGGGAAGCAATGGTACTGGACTGTTTTCGGAAAACAACCATTTGGTGAGTTAATCGACTTCAAAAACAAACAAATAATATCGACTTCTCACTACAGGAACAGTTATTTAACCAACTAATGTATTAATCGCTTTTTGATTTATGAGATGGTTACAAAACCTGTTCGTTGACTATATTTCTCATTTCTCCTGCAATGAAGTAGATTTTGTTCTATATAACCTCTTGGTGCTTTGTTCTATTCAAATTGTTTTTGAAAAATTGAGTCAGTTGGGATCGGCGAGGTGTGCACTTCCGGTGGGCAGTGGATCCCTCACGTTCTGCGTCTTCCCTTTGAGCCCGGTTTTTTTCCACCTGAAATGTGCTCACCAATCAGTTCTCCTCACCGTGATGTGGAAGGATGTGAGATCCAGAGTGACCTCTAGTGCTACTGTTGGAGGCGATCTCAGTGTTTCTTTTATGCCAGAACATGCTTAGTCTCTGCACCTTTTCTGGCATTTTTCTTGTAGTGGCAAATACAGTTCTGCCGTTCCAAACTACTGCTTCCTAGGTGATCACGAGTCTCACTATAATCGTGTTCATTCATTGCTGGATTGATTTGCAACCTTATGTCTCTCCTGCAATATTCCTGCACACCATCTGTGATGATTTCTGAATGAGCCCCAGTTATTTCAGCTGCGAATATATTGCGGAAGAGCAAAATTTGTATTCTACATCTGACTTCAAAGCTGCACAAGCTTTGAGATGTAACGAGCTGAAGTTAAATAAGAGCTGTTGAGGAGCCAATGGCGACTTCTCTCAATTAACTAGTCGGAATTGAGCATTGGGGAAGTGAAAATCACCTCTTCGGTGCTATTTACAAAATAAACTGTATCAGATAAATTGTCACAGAGAGTTACAATGAAAAATATCATCAATGATTTCAGGAATCAAATCTGAAATAGAAACCAACAATAATTATAGGTAGTTGCAAACGCTGAATATTATTTCAAGGGAGGACATTTCCACTTTTCATTATATGATCTTAAAATATTTATAGAAGTTCTTTCGTGACGAAGTATTTCCATGTTGAAGTGAACATCAGAATGTAATATATTTATTGAACCCTCAACCTCTTGAAAATTTGCAAACACAATAATTCATGATTATGTCATATTATTTCAAGCTATTTACACAGGGGATTAGTAGTATCCAAGAAACTGAACACCAGCCTTTTATTCCATACATGAGAATTGATTCAAAAAGGGAATAATACAATAGCAGCTGATGAGTTGATGAGGTGATTGTGTTCAGTGTTTAACTTATAGTTGTTTCGAAAGATGAAATCAAACTTCAGAGTAGTTACATGATAATAAAGCACGCAACCTGGGTCATAATGAAAGTGTAATGAAAGTATAATGAAAGTTATGTTATGTTATACAGGCTGATTTCAAAATGAGTGCATATATTCAAGACATATATATGAGAGAGTGTGACAAAAATTACTAAAATATTTCACATTAACGAGAAATTTCATTTTGAAAATTGAACATAAAATGCTTCGAAATTCGAGTACGCCACTGGAAAGCAAGTGAAATCTGCGGAATCCCAGGGAATCCCCAATTCGTCATTCACTAACGTCAAAACAAGACAGTGATGCCAGATTGTTTCAGAGACGAATATCCTGATTAAAATTTGTCACAGAATGAATATGAATTGGAATAGGTTATGGAAACTAATAGAGGTGAATGTAATATGTACAGGAGCCTTATTTTTCAAAGTTTACTGAGAGAACTGTGGGGTGATTATCTCCATGGATCACGAGAGACGGAGAGAACCATGAGGGGAATGATAGAACTCCCCCTTCCTTCAATTCGAAAATAAGGCCCCAGCGGGTAAACAAAATTAGCAAACAATAAATAGGTACACAACATACACAAAGTTGAAAATCGACTCACCTAGTAGATTTTCTCATACCTGTTCGAACAGCAAAACTCCCGAGAGCAAACAAATACTAATATCGAGTCCATTCCAGACTAATATCGTCCTGTGTTCTTGTTGGTTCATAAGTATTCGCACTTAAACCATCGAAAACGACTCGACGACGACATATCCTTCCTGGCAATCTCATATTGAAATCACGATCACGACCATATCACGATTATCACGACACAACATCCAATTATTTTATTATTCATTTTACGTTTACAATTATTTTACAAACCAACAACCACACAAACAAAACTATTATCATATGATCTGTCAACATCATTTCTCAGAACAGTAGTATCTGTGACCATAGATTTCCTCTTTGCTGTGACCTTTGACAGTACTAACTAGGATTGTTCGCGTTCAGAAAATAAACAATCCGAAACCATCAGAAGCATGCACAAGTCCACAGAACCCAAAAAAATCATACAGTTCTGTGAAACTGCGCATGCTTCTGACCGTTTTGGACGCAAGAATTCAGATGACCATGAATTACTAATAGGTGATTTCTACGGACCAATCAGAAACAACAAAGTAGCGCCTGCGTGGTTGCGATTCATCCTGATTGGACACAGCTGATTGGATTTGTGAGACTAGTGTATATAGTGAGGAAGTATCATTTCATTGAATTAAACTAATAGATGTTTTTCCAAATTAGTTTTTTATGAAAATGGTAGTTTCATTTAAAGATATGATCCTTCCTCACTAATACATTAATCTCAATCACCTGTGCCCAGTCAGGATGAATCGCAACCACGCAGGCACTACTTTGCTGTTTCTGATTTGTCCGTAAAAGTCGCCTATTAGTAATTCATGGTCATCTGAATTCTTGCTGGTAGCGAGTGGTAGCACACCATAAGAACAATCAAAACAAAGATCCTTTCTTGACAGTTTGTTGTTCTGAGAATGTATGTTATTTTGGAAAACGTCAAAACGTGATACTAGTAAATGTAAAGTTTTGTTTCTGACAATTTGCTCAGAATGTGACGATGCATTTCTCAAACATTGAGCTGAATGATACGGTTCTTATGTCGGGTCGTTATTGTGCGGGGCCCATGACACTCCTCGAAGGACACGAAATTGTAGCGATGCAAGGAGGTGGAAGGAAGGGTCTGAAGGATTTTTCAGTAAAAGAACTTCCAACCGTGAGGTGTTAAGTTATACGCTATTCGAGCTTATGTGTAGAAATCTTGAGTGAGTCCATTTTAAAGTTTTTGTATTATCTTTCTGAAATTCAAGACCAGGGTTAACTTCTTCCCCATGTACATTTTCTCGATTATACATTTTATTTAATGTCTCCTAATTTTCATGTAGAGTGGCAACGTCGCTTCGTTCATCACGGTCGACTGCGGATCGCAAACGATAGTTGTGACAGAAGTAGGAATCTGGGCGGAAAAAGGGTATTTTGCCCCAAATCTATTTTGATCCTAATAATATTTTTAATAGTGCTATTAAATAGTATACCTCAAGCTTTCTTAGTGTTTAAAATATATGCACTTATTTTAAAATCAGCCTGTATACCAGATTAATCGATACAGAGCACGATATAACTACTGGTTGCTGCTATTCAACCCTGTTCTACACTAGACGTGTGAAATACTATATTATCGCTAATTCACCATTTGTTCACATCGTTCGGTTTTTGCTCTTACAGGACCTAACAAGCGAAAAGGTATTTAATTATCATCAAAGGGCGACATAATGACTTGTTAACACGCGCCAGTGCCCATTTGGTCTCTCTCGTGGCCTTCATTATTGTGGCAATTACGGAACGCTTCATTCGAACGCATTCACCATACAGGGTGTTGAACAACAAGATGTCTTTCTCTAGTCTTGTTCGTTACTCTGACGGGACGAGTCCTTGAAGTCGTTTTATCCGTTCTTCCATTTATGTTATAATTATCCTGAATTCACTGTTCTGGTACTCGATTCGATGGCACTCGAATCTGGTAGGTAAGTATATTCAACAATAAAAACATGAGAGAAAACGTGTGAGTTAGTGAGGAAATTTATCCAATTAAAAAAAAAGTTCGAGTGTTTTTTTGAAAAGATAAATCAACGACAATATAAAAAATAAACAACAATAATGATCACATTTATTGATGATACCGTATAACTGGTAGTTTACGGAATTGATTTTCTCATATATTTTCGTGGTTTCTTCAGACGAAATGTTCCTAAAACGTCATCAAACTTGACACTACATAAATTGGAGTGACATAAGGCGCAAATAGCTACTAGATTAAAAAATAAGGCAGTTTATTAGCGATAAAAAGGTGCATCCTTCTTTATCGATGTCAAAATGGCTCCCGTCGTCGTCAAATAGCGTTTTCCGTGTAAGAGTTGATTTATCATCAATAATGACTTGCTATATTCGCGGGAATCAATGCCACCAGGTGGCGCTCAGTTTTCATCGTTCCATGTCAAAGTCACGTCAAAACTGGGGGAAAACAAACTCAATCCTCACTCAATCCCATTAGTGCCATTAGCTTGTGTACTGTGAACTGATAAGAGTGATAAAACTTCATGTCAGTGACAAGTTTGACAACTACAGCTACAGCAAGACAACAGTTTGTTTTCCCCCAGTTTGGAGTTTGTATTATGTTATCTAGATGTCGCCCACTTCGTGAATCTCGCGAATACTGTCATCGTCAGGACTACTAGATTTTGATTACAATTGGAAAGAATTGCTTCCATAGTGACAATTGGTCCATATATCAGAACTACAATAATAATTCCAATGATATATTGATCATGGTGAAAAGAGTTGTATATACACCTTGGTAGTGAAGAAAATGATTACCACGGGACCTTCTTCTCCTCGGCTGTGGCCTTGAGATATAATCCTGGTCCCTGGATACAAATGATTTTCTTTACTACCTTGGTGTATAAATAACTATTATCTGACCATTGTCAATTATTGCCGTCACTGGCGAATTATTGAGATCTCGACCTCAATCACACACACATCTACAAACCATTTCAACATTTCCATAATGAATAAACTGGGTTATTTGGTGTTGTCCTCATAGCTACTTCGATACATATGCATATCGAATGTTGAGAACAGAAGTATGATC